TGCTGAGGAGAAGTGCTGTTAGAAAAGTTTGAGTCTGGTTGCCTGGGCAGATTAGTCAAGCTCAGGTTATCATTTTATAGGGAACACAGAGGAAAAGAATGGATACTAGCAATATTCTGCTTCATTGCCTGTGAAATCAGAAGGGGTGTACTTAAGAAACAAGAATAAAATTCCAGTAATAGGTTGTATTTGTATGAAGCACTTACCCAGAAAGTTCTATAAAATCTGAAATGATATTTCATTTGCCATGGGATTGTAAGAAATAAATGCTAGTTTATAGGCTTAAGCAAGGCTTTTTTTGTCTCTGAATGTTATACCCTTGGAATGTTTTAGAAGCAGAATAAAAAGTCATACTGAAGTAGATAAGGGCTGATGTAAGTCACCTCATAAAGGGGCTGTACATCCATATCTCATCCAAACTTGGCAACTACTATATGCAGAAACTGAGGCTAGTCTTGAACCATCTTAAGAATGGGAGGTGGTTTTAGCCAATCCCACCTATGCTCAAGTAGGCACTGGCAATCCAGTTTGCTGTTGGATGTGGTTCAAGGTTTTCAGTAGTTTTGAAAGTACTGAATACTCTGAGACCTGGTTTCCTATCAGATCATGTCTCTTCTGATATTTCACTACAACACTGTATTAGTTCAATCCAAAATGAGGTTTTTGTCCCTGGTCAGTGTGGGGAAAAAACCCCTTCCCCTTAGATTTGAGAACTGGCTCAGGGCAGGTGGCTGCTGAGCTCTAGCTTTGGCTGAAGCCAATGCTGACCTGCTGCCTACCCAGGGCCAGTATGGCTCATTTGGTGGGTGAAGGGCACACATTTGGGGAATATAGAGGAGGCCACAGGTTAGGGTTGGTGAACCTGCAGCCTGGCCCCACCCCCTATTCCTTCCCACTGCCTGCCTCCCCTCCCCTCCCCTCCCCTTCCACTTACTTTCTACTCCAATTCTGGTCCCTCTAGCCCCAACCCAGCTTGGCCAGGAGCTGGTTCACCGCTGCTGCTGACTGCCCTGAAAGAGCAGAACTGTAGCAGGAGGTAAGTGGGGCAGTGGGCAGGGAAGCAGGGGAGATAAGTGGCAGGGGTCAGGCACAGGCCTGAGGGGAAAAGGGGCAGGGGGATGAGGTTCAGACACAGGCACAGGAGGCAAGCTGCAAGTGGGAGCAAAGGGTTGGGTGCAGGCACAGGCATGGGGGGCAAAGGATGCGTGGCAAGGAGCAGGCACAGGGGGATGAGGGGTAGGGGGGGCAGACACAGAGGGCAAGTGGCAGGGGAGCATGGTGGTTTGGCCCCTTACCCTCTGCTGCTGTTTTACGCGCGACAGCAGTGGGGGGGAGATGGATTTAAGGCAATCTGCCACTGAATAGATTCTATATATGGAAAATTATTACAAATTTATAACACTGTATGTATAGAACCAAGTTATTATAGGGTTTGTCTTAAGTCATCTTGGATTTGGGTAAATATGGTAAGTTTAGCCAGAGCGTTCCTGCCATTGGTTCCTATGGTTGTCTTCCCTAGGACTGGCAAAAGCACTCCTAGAATGCTTTAACTGTCAGGACTGGCTATGTTCATCCCAGCTCAGAGCCTGTGAGCTTCCAGGACATCATCTAAGACAGAAACTCCCAAAGTCTCTGGGCCACTGACCTACTGACACCCCTCAAAACTTGTCGTGGATGGTCATGTGTCCTTGTCACCAACTTTGCACTGAAAACACTACACAGGCAAAGAGGGCCTTCCATGATCTGCAGACCACTTCTGGTTGGGAACCACTGATGCGAGACATTTGTGGTTCTCTTCTCCCCCTTTCCTCCGTCAGCCTAACAGCGCAACGACAGTCTGGCTGCAGAGGCTTTTCTGGCTGCAGCAAGAGCAGCTGTTCTTACCCTTTTAAGGAAGCTCTCTGTACATCTATTAATGTTTGTAAGTAGCTCCAAGAAGTTAAGTCACTTAAGAATCCTTTAAGTAGATAAATTTGTAATTGTATATTGTGCGGAGATGGGCTGGCTAATAATCTGTGCTGGAAGTTATGCAGCATTTTAGTCATAAAATGTTGTTTTCCAGCCCAGTCCAGTCATCTAAAGCAAGTATGTCAGCAACATTAATCTTCAGAGACCATAGATTGATAAACAAGTTGCCAAGACCCACCAGGGGAATAATCACAGTATGGGGCGTGGGGCTCCCCAGAAGTGGAAGTGATTAAAGCAGAAAAAGCTTATCAGGAGTTGCAAGAGGGGGGATGGGGGCGCCAAAACAAAGGGGCACCAACAGGTGCTTCCGACCCTAGAAACTATGAAACTATAGGTGCTGCCCAGCCAGGGCAGGGCATGGAATGGAGCCATGAACAGCAAATTTGGGGGGGCATAGGGACGGGGGGTGGGGGGCAGCTCCTGCCACTAAGTGCACCCCAGGCAAGCATGGGGGGGTGCATGCCCCCCGGATCTGTGCATGGGGTGAGGGTGTGCTGCTGCTATGGGCTTGCCCTGGGCCCCAAACTTCCTTGCTATGGTACTGGTTGTTCTAGCTATTTTACACTGGCACAACTCTGGCAGCTGTGGCATAAGTTAAAGCATCCCTGAAGAATGCCCTAACCTGCAGTAGGAACAGAAGCAATTAGGTGTCCTCAGGATGAGGTGGTTTTATCTTCCTAAATCCTTGTCCCCAGCTTAGCTGTAGTATAGGAATGAATCAAGGCCATAGCGTGCAAAAATGATCAAAGATCTTTTCTCTACTCTAATGCTCAGTGAAAGTTGAAAGATTTTTGCTTAGATCGAAAATGTTGTGGTGGTTTTTTACTCAGTTACACAAGCAAAGAAATAAAACTTGTAATAATCCAAACAGGGTGTGTCTACACAAGATGTTTACTGCATAGTAGACTAATTATCACTTCAGTAAAGGCTGTGTGTCTACATGTGCGCCCCTGTTAGGCTGGAGTAAATTAACTAACTCCACAGCAGGATAGTACTTGTAAATACAAGTACTATCCTGCTGTGGAGTTAGTTAGTAAATACAAGTACATACAAGACACAAGTACTTGTAAATACAAGTACTATACTATACAATCTAATGTAATACAAGTACTATTCTGCTGCAGAGTTTCTTTCTCTGCAGCAATACTTGTGTACATGCTGTCCAGGCTGGCTAGGACATGAGGGTGCTTCAGTATGGAAGCTGCCTGCTGACTGGAGCACCCTCATGTCCCAGCCATTTCTCCCCCCCCTCCTCCCCCCCCAAACACATTGAGCTAGGGGAACATCTCTAGGCTAGCAAGTTGACCCCTGGGGTCCCTTGCCAGTTGGGACCACTCTGACCTGATTCAATGTAATACGACCCAGGAAGAAAAATGAAAAGGAAATGACTACATGGACAAAAGAGGTGTAAGGGGTAATGCAAGTAATCAGTTCTGATTAGCAGGAACCAAGATGTGACTGCAGGATTTGGCTTTCCCCATAAGGAATTTACATCTATTTCCCCTAGTCTTTTAGACTTAAAATATTATTTAAACATAAAAAGAGTAACTGATGTCTTCACTCTGGGCAGAGAGAGATTATTCTAATGAAACAAAAGATGGAGGAAAACCTGTTAATTCAAAGAGTCCTGAAGAAACACTAAACAGTTTCCTAATGCTCATCATATTGGCTGGCAAAACTGGCTACTGCTGGCAAGAGTTTTTATTTCACCCTATTTGTTTTCCTTTTATCAATATACAATCCTCAACTCTTGTATGGCCTTCCTCTCTCCAGTCACCTGAAACAGCCTTTTAAAATATGCATGAAAGTACTTTACCAGCGACACTTCATAAACCATGAAAATCCAGTACATAAATCATTCTCTTTTGAAATACCATCTCCCCACATATGACTGATGTGACTAAAATGGATAGTCAGCATATGGTGGGAGACACACCGTGGGAGAGCCTGTCAATTTTTAGCTATGAACAGTTCCAGTCATTTATACTTAAATTATTTCTTTTATGCTGGGAGGGCCTGGTTTGTCTCAAGTCATTTCCTAGTTTTCACTGTACCTTGAGTTCACTTTGCGAGAAGTGAGCAGTCTTTTTTTTCCATTTGGATCTGCGCAGGTCCAGGTGGCACCACTCCACGTTACATCTAGAGCTACAAGTTTGGGCTTAAATATTAAATAGCACCTTTGCTGAGCTCCCTATTCTAAGTTACATTTCAACTTCGCTGAGTGAAATTCTCTGTTTCTAGCTCAACTATTAGCTGTGAGGCTATATCACATATCTTAAAATAGTTTTGAATCCATCACCAAATACACTGGAGTGTTGCTGCCCAGGCATGGCGTGACCGCTGTAGCCAACACTGAGAGACTATTAATTATGAAGTAGGTGAAGTCTGAGGAATTTGCAATATTCTTAATGAATACTACAATACTAAATACCAGAACTGAAAGTGTCACAGAATAGCAAAATATTAAGTTGGGAAAAAATGACTGCCAGTGGCAGGATCCCAAGTGCACAAAGGTTCAATGGTAAAATTAAGGTGTCACTCTTGAAGCCTAGATTTTGGTTACAGCAAGCATCCATTGCTCTAGATGCATGCTGTGATTGACATCCTGATTAAATAGCCATGAATTGCCATCAGGTTATGACTAACCACAAACTAGAGGCTTCTGTGGCTTCAAGTCTGCCTTTATTATTCCCTCTAGTGACCTAGCTACTGCTCATAAAAGGCAAAGGATTAGTTAGAAGAACACAGAGTGATATGTATCATGAAAAAAAAAGAACCCCAGATGCCTTGAGAAACAATAACAACACAGCCTGTAAAATGAAATAAACAATGTCAATGAGGGCCCAATAAATCTACTCTGCTACTAGGAAAAGCAATGGATTAGTTTTACTCTTTTATAATCCCACTTACCAACAGAGATATAAACTTTGTACAGAAGTTATATTACTGGTGGAGTGGGCCATGTTAGCAGAAGCTTGCATTCCTACAGATAGGACAGCTCGATAAGCCATACAACCTTTAAAAGAGCTCACCATTATGGTCTGATTTCTTAGAGGCAACTGCAGCTCGTGCCACCAAATGAGCTGTGTTTGCTGCTTCCACTGAAGAAGGGCTTTTTCTCAGGGCAATGAAATGAGCCTGTCACAAACAAGCAGAGGAAACAGATTAGTTCATGTGACATCAGTCGGACAAAAAGAAAATCAACAGGCTTCATTTGGAAGAAAGTTTCTCTGTCAGGGAAACCAAACTGAGTTTACAACAGAATGAGTACCTTTGGATCAGGTCTTATGTGCACAGTTTAGTGATCAAACCCAACTCTGGCCACGTGGGTTTGCTTTGGTTCAGAAAGTCAGAACTTGAGTTTATGGACTGAGTATCTCTGTCCACTTTTTGAATGAACAGAAAAGTTACATGGCTATGCAAGACATAAATGAGCTCACATGTCAGTACAGCAGTAGCTGCTATGTATAACAAAAGGACATAACCAATTTCTTTTTACTTACGTCCTTCAGACAGGTTCATCCAAGACAAAATCTTTACTGCAATAAAAATTACTAGCTAGAATTTTACAAGATTTACGATTACCAAGATGAATAGTGGTGATAACTATGCAGATTCTCTAATTCTGAAAGATCTCAAAATGCTTGATTATCTAATACACAAACAGTACACAGGGATTTCTTTCCCTGTCATTGAAACAAGCAACTCTTCAACAGGACAAAAACTAAAAGACTAGGAAAGGAGAATTCCAGCTAGTTCCTGTAGCCCCCGATTTGCTTTTGATCTTTTAAAAAACAATTATTATTTTTTTTAGATCTTCCCCATTCAAGTACTGATCCAGTCACAGATTAGAAGAGCTATTAAAGACGGGGGACTATGAAGCCTAGCGACAACAACACATGCCTGTGTTGTAAGTCCATCGTCTACCAGATTCTTCTCACTTCCCTATTTGTTCCTATTTTTCAATATTGACTTTTTTTTTTCACAAAAAGTATTAATTTCTTTAATGGTTACATTTCTATCAGTTCCCTATAATTTTACTTTATTCCTGGCCTAAACAACTGTGGAAGGAATAGGGAGGATTTTGAAAGCTGTGCAGAGGATCTTGCCACATAACTTGACTAAGTCTCCTGTACCAATTTGAAAATTGTGGCCTACATGGTTTATAGTGGTCAGAAAGTGATCACTACTGGCAGGAGAAAGGGGAGAAATGGATGGCTGAGCTGGTACAAACTTCCTTTATTACACTATTTGCTGAACTGTTTTAAATTGAGTACCTCTTAATGAAAATAAAAACATTCCTGTGCCCAGTCACCGCAAACATGGGGTGTGTTTTTAAAGACCAGCACAGAGTAATACACACTTCTTCCATGCACCTCACAGATTAGGAAATGCTACTTCCTAACTTGTCACTCTCCCATTTCTGTTTGCAGGAAGAAGGATAAGCTACATGTTCCCTAGACTGACTTCTTAAGAGACAGGGGGGGCAAGTAGCCATCATGTATCTAACTCTCAACAGCCCGCTTGCCAAATCCTGATTATGACCTACTTACATTATGGCAAATGACCCACCTTGTGATTATTGCAATGTGAAAGGTATTTGAAAAGTTAATTAATAAGCATGTTATTAATAAATACCTATATACTGGGTAGGTTAAAGTAGCAGGGCTCCTCTGAGTTGCTTCTTGGGTATACATGAATGAACATTTTGTTGTTGCACTGTTAATCTATATAATTTAGTAATATTAACATTGTATGAAACCACCAAAATACTTGTCTTTTTCTATGGAGAGATAAGACGTTAGATTTTTCATTATTTTAAATGTCAGCAGATACAGTGGATATGGGAAAGAGAAAGGTTGGATGCTACTTAGGGCCAGAAGACTCCCTTGAATTGATTCCTCTCAACCTGAAATGAATGCACAATCAGAGGTACTGAGTGCATGGGGGCACAAGGGCCCTGGCTCCCCTCAGGAAGCGGGCTGTCACCTGAAATGTGTAAAATTTTCCACATGTCCATCATCTTAGGTCCTCCCTGGCAAAATTAAAAGACAAGCATATGTGCACAGTATTGGGAAGCAAACACATCTGCAAAGAAATGGAGTTTGTGATAGATTTAAGTGACATGTCTGTAAGTGCACAACATACCTTGGTTGTCTTTGCAAGAATAATGATAGAGATTCAACAGGAAGCACTGTCAATCTGAGTCAGTACAGCAAAAAGCACTATGCTGAGAAATATTATGCTGAGATTGCCAATTGCTCAAACGTATGAGGGAGAATAAGGCAAGATGCTGCATTTATTGATTAAGCGCTTAATACACATGCGCGCACACCCTGCATTCATACCCCAATTTCTGTTCTGCGCTGGTATACGTTACCAGTCTTATCAGTGCTCAGGTCAACTTAGTGGCCAGTCAAGTTGATCATAAGTAGGAGCCGGGCTCCTGCCGTTCCATCTCATCAGATGAACCGATGCTCCAGGATGACGTGCAGAACAAGACCCAAAATCGATACGTCTCGCCTGATCTTTTATAGCCTTGTCAATTCACCCAGGCCTCTGGGCTTTTGCTGTGTTATCATTGTGTTCTTCCTTGAAGGTAGATTGCCATTTTTCTCTCGCTGTTATGGGGTGGACTCTTCTTGTTTTGGTCTTTTATCTGTCTGCATTCTTCAGCCAGTCGCCAGCTGATGTTTTCCTTTTCCACAGACACAGCCTCACCCATTCTCTCACACATACAGCATACAAAAGTTGAGCACTTACGTCAAGCTACAGAGCAATACAAAATGGAGTTTAAGATTAAAAGCAATAGGCAAAAAGTCTTTTTGTATAACAGCTGTCTACTGTACATGAACTTGATATGGCCCATTTGCAGTTACAGTAAAGAGTTGATTATGTGGAAATCAATAATTTAGAAACTCAATCAGAAGGTTTTGTATTAACAAAACTATCAGTCAACAGCTGAATCTTGCTTGCTAGTGGGACTACTGTACACTGTATTTACTAGTGCTTTGACATTTTAAAACATTACACAGGACCATACATTTATTTCTTGTTTTTTTTATTGTTTGCTGTACAGTACAGTCATTATAGTTTTTAGCACTTCATATTTGGTGTTTGATTATCCAGAAAAATTGATTATCCCAAATGATAGTAATGTGACAGACTTAACCAATCAAGCTCCAGCATGTCCAGGGGCTCAAGAATCCTCAATTTCAATTGGTGGAGCCAATCCAGCAATCAGGGACAAGCTGGGGGAAAGCAGGCACTGCCCCTTTCCCAAAGGTGTGGGGGAGAAGAGCTCCCCGACCGGACTGTGGACTGCAGTAAGGCAGTTCTGTTGGACTTTGGGGACGGAGCCCCTGAAGCGTATAAAAGGAGAGCGTGCTCAGCATGCTGGGGAGAAGATGTGGCAAGGGACGGCGAGGAGACAGGAGCTCCGAAGACCATCCTTGAGACCCTGCCTGAGCCTCAACAGTGCATGGATTAGCACATGGCGCTCAGGGTCTAGGAGCCGCTCAAGGCGGCTTGATCCTGTGAACCTGGCAAGCGGCTAGGTGCGTGGTGCATGGATCGGTGCACAGAGAGCTGGCCCTGGAAGCAACTCAAGGCTGCTCAGACCTCATGCAGTGTGCAGGTCGGCGCACAGAGAGCTGGCCCTGGGAGCAGCTTGAGGCTGCTTGGGCCCCATATGGTGTGCAGGTCAACCACGTGAGCGGCTTGAGGCTGCTCAAGTTAGCCCCAGCTCTAGGTCAGGTAACCAGAGCTCCACAGTGTGGCTCAGCATTAAAAAAAGAACCCCAATGCCCAGAGCAGGGCCTGGGAAAGGGAAGGACCCCCAGGGTGAAGCCGGGGAACCAGAGACAGTAAGGGCTTGACTCCTGTAGAAGTGCCCTGGGTGCCCAGTGTGGGGCACCAAGCCATCAAGAGGAACTGGAGGCACCACCAGAGAGAGGCCCTTGCGGGACTGGCCACCAGGGAACGAGCCTGGGCTGCTTCAGAGTGGGAGCGGGTTTCACAGGGGAGGTGGGCTTGGGAGAAGAGGGTCTGCAGCCTCCACCCTCCTCCATTGTGGGAGAGGGCGTGTCCACATCCTGGGACCTTAAAGGGAAAGGGCTCCAGGGAACACCCTGTGGGGTGCTGAGTGCACCCCTATATTTTGTGATTAATGTTGCTTCATACTATAAAGGTTAATATAGTTATGGGTACTCCTTAAGGGGGTTTATATGGGTTTATATGTCTTCATTACCTATATGTGTTTACTGTCTATAATCAGAACTTACTTATGTTATTGCCTGTGTACGTCTATTGTATTGCTACCTCAGCTTACCTGGGTTTATCTAAGTTGATGCTTATATGTGTTTATTGAGTTGATGCCTTGACTTACCTGTTCCAGAGCGTTAATATTTATTCTGTGCAGGGGGATTAATTATTGCCTATGCCATGAATCACCCATTTTATATTTTGCAGTTCCTCAAAGTGGTGCAATGTGTTGACTGC